TACTGGATTGCAGGAAAACTCAGCTGAGTTTTGGCGGGTCAGAGCCTCTACCCTTGGGGCTCTTTTTCTGTCCCAGACTTGCAGTCAAAATGGTTATTACGTATTCCCATAATCACCCTGGCTTCAGACTGAGCTTATTCAGACCTTTTTTGTGATTTCATTTAAGGAGGCAAAGCAGCAATCCTTAGTGCTCTTCACCACCAATTAGCCTTGCCCGGTGTCAGAGGTGTTTCATCTTCGGCACCATGACTCCTTCCTCCTGAAATGGTTCCCCTTGGCATCATAGAATAGAATCATAGAATGGTTTGGTTTGGAAGGGACCTCAAAGATCATCTAGTTCCAACCTCCCTGCCATGGGCAGGGAAACCCTCCACTACACCAGGTTGCCCAAAGCCTCATCCAACCTGGCCTTGAACACTTCCAGGGATGGGGCATCCACAACTCCTCTGGGAAACCTGTTCCAGTACCTCACCACCCTCAGAGTGAAAAATTTCTTTCTTATATCTAATCTAAATCTCCCCTCTTTCAGTTTAAAGCCATTGTCCCATGTCCTGTCACTACATGCCCTTGTAAAAAGTCCCTTTCCAGCTTTCCTGTAGGCCCCCTTTAAGTACTGGAATGCTGCAATAAGATCACCCCGGAGCCTTCTCTGCTCCAGGCTGAAGAGCCCCAACTCTCTCAGCCTGTCTTCATAGCAGAGGTGCTCCAACCCTCGGATCATCTTCATGGCCCTCCTCTGGACTCGCTCCAGCAGCTCCATGTCCTTCTTGTGTTGGAGACTCCAGAGCTGAACGCAGTATTCCAGGTGGGGTCTCACAAGAGACATCAGATGTGTATGCGACACCTGGGGTTGGAGCACTGGCACCATATTCCCCATGGCCCAACCAATGTGTATACTATAGCCCCAAATTAAGGAAACCAAGGGAAAAACTTAAGAAATGCATAGGCAGAGCTGGGTGACACCTCCATGTGACATCCAAAGAGAAGAGCACTGTGGCGCTGCTGAGGAGGGGTAAGCAGGAGGAAATCTGTGGGGATGAGCAGATGCTTTCCTCTATGTAAAGGGGATGTTTCTTGCAAGGCTTCTGAAAGCGTTTGGTCACTATTGCTAAGTGTGCAGCAAAATGGAAAGGGAAACAGCCCCATCTCGCAGTGCTAAGGGAGTGAGGATGGAGGGCTGCTAAAAAAAAAAAGTTTTTGTGCCTGTGATGTACAAACACAAATGGAAACAGGCCTCGGTTGGTTCATATTCACAGGAAAATGTAAACAAGCAAACACTGGTTTATAGGCAGCCAGGCATCACTGTTTGTATCACATACTTTGAAAAGTCACCCCGTCTTCTTGTCAGCATCGTAACTGACATTATGTAATTATCGTTACAAATGTCCTTCCTAGAAGTGAAAGCTTTACTGTAACATCAGTTATTACTTAAAAATACATTAATTGTACCGGAAATCCTGTCCCATTACTCAGTACTGTGGCATTTTACTAGATGTCTTGGAAAGAGGTGGAAAGTAGAGCACAGCAAAATGACACACTCTTTATCCCTTTGTCCTCAAGGATCCTTACAAAAAAAATTATGGGAATAAATAATGTAGGAGTGCCTAAAATAGCCAAATCAGGGTGGACAAAAGATGACTTCTAGTAATATTGGATTCTTACTTTTGAACCACATTTATTTTCCTTCGTCTGCTTCTAAGTATCTTTAGAACAGAAGCGTGATTATATCGTAGCTGGGTATGGCCGTGGATGTGCACGTAACAACCCCAGGGAGTCGGTGTCTGTATGATTTACTGGGATCTCTTATACTGTCCATCACTTTTGTATTTAGGTGTGTGATCCGAATATGATGCAAACCCGAACTCGACAAGTGCTAAGGGCTTCAGTCAATACAAAGCCCTGCCCTGAAGATACACAAATGAAGCCATGTATTCTTAACCAAAATTGCTTCCAGTATCAGTACAATCTGACAGGTAGGTATAACTTTCCGATACACTGTTATACGTTCTGCTTTTCCAAATATCTTTGCATAAAAGCTTCAGCTCCTTAAAGGCTTTCTCCAGTTGTCTTTTTAGTTATGTTTGCCTGTGGTGTTGGTTAAAGCCTTGACATTGAAAGAGTTATGTGTAGACATCACTGATTTCAATGAAGTTAATTATGTGCCTACATTTTTACAAGTTACTGGACAAATGCACAATTTTTGTATTTAAGTTGTCATTGCAGATACACTGGAAATAAAACAGGTTAAATGGGATCTTTTCCTTTTGGTGGGTTATCAACAGAAATAATTACAAAATTCCAGTTAAAAGAGTGTCATCTGTGTGATTCTGGTGAAGCCAATAGTACCAACAGAAGTCTGATTTGAAGGCAAACACAGGTTATATGGATGGGCATAGGATATTTGGAGCAAAATGCATTATTTAGGAACTTAGAAGCAATTAGATCTGTTGCAAACAAACTAACAAACAACAACAACAACAAAAAAACGGGAAAAGTTCCTTATGTTTTGACCAGCTCAGATAAGTGAGAAAGGCAGAGGGAGGACTGGTGGAAAGGGAGAACAAAGCAGGAGAAAATGTTCTGTCTGAATATAAACTCAGCCTGCTTGAAGTATAAGCCCTAGAAACACACAGGCTGCAGGACGATGCCTTTTTTATCATCGTGTTTCAGAAACGCAGAACATTTATGTTTTCATGTTTCTCAGAGGTGGAAGACACAAAGTAATAGGTTTTCTTCTCGTATGCTTCCTATTTGGTGGTGGTATATGGAAATGTTTGTTGTTTGTGTTATGCTTTTTTGTTAATTTTACATGGCGTCTTAAGGCTTAGTTTAGTTTAATTGTATTCTGACCATAATAATTTCAGACAAATAGTAAGATATGAATGTTCTTCTACTAGAAATACCGTTTTTATTTCATGAATATTAGAGCTTAGTTTTAAATAATGGGGAGCTTTGCCTTGAGACAAGAAATAGGTTAAACCAGTGTTACCCTTCAGAAACTTCCCCAGCTACTTTATCAAAGTGGAATTTTACTTCAGGCAATACAGTCTCGTAAACACGCCGACTGGGTTGAACTGATACACTTTATCAGCGTTTAACAGTTTTCTGTGCACTCTGATGCACCGGTTTCGTTAAGGGGATATCTGAGCGCAAAGCCAGCGGTTCCTCCTCTGAGACTTAGAATCATAGAATGGTTTGGGTTGGAAGGGACTTCAAAGATCATCTAGTTCCAACCCCTCTGCCATGGGCAGGGAAACCCTCCACTACACCAGGTTGCCCAAAGCCTCATCCAACCTGGCCTTGAACACTTCCAGGGATGGGGCAGCCACAACTTCTTTGGGCAACCTGTTCCTCTGCCTCACCACCCTCAGAGGGAAGAATTTCTTCCTTATATCCAACCTAAATCTCCTCTCTTTGAGTTTAAATCCATTGCCCCTTGTCTTATCACTACATGCCCTTGTAAAAAGTCCCTCTCCAGCTTTCCTGTAGGCCCCCTTTAAGTACTGGAATGCTGCAATAAGATCACCCCGGAGCCTTCTCCAGGCTAAACAGCCTCAGCTCTCTTAGCCTGTCTTCATAGGAGAGGTGCTCGGTTTTAAGAGCAACCGTCTTTTGTGTGGGTTGTCCTTGGGTCTGGGGTGCTCTGATGTGGGGAAGGTAATCCATGTGTTGGGTAAACCGATGCAAAAACATCACCGCGTCCTTTGCTTTGTGTCCGCAGGCTGGAGCGGGTGCCAGCTGGGTGTCAATGCCACCTGTGGGCACGGGCAGCGGCGACGCCTCCTGAGCTGCCAGCGCAGCGATGGGGCCACCGTCAGCATGCAGCTCTGCCAGCGGGTGAGGATGGCATGCGCACTGGGCAGGGAAATGTCTGGAGGGTCGTTTTGTTTCTAGGAAGCTGCTGCCTTCTGTTCTGCACCAAGACACTGTCTGTAGATGGTGGAGAAGTTGTGTTCGTTGCTGGGAGCGCAGTAGTTGGGTATTTTAAGGAAAAAAAGCATCCCCAGGGTATTAGTGGGTTGTATCACTCCCTAATTCAAACGGGAGGTTTTGGGGTTGGAGTAGCACACATGGGACACAGCTATAGACCCTGCACCATGGCTCCAACAAAGCTGGCCACCAGGGAGATAGTGCCCTGCTAGAAGTTTGGGATTATCCTTTCAGAGTAAGACCCAAACACTGAAGGACTCGTAGACGTGAAATGCTTCAACACTGACACTGCTTTCACCAATCGCACCCTCAGTAAAGCTCTTTGTAAGCAACAACGCTGGCATCCCACTAGAGTCGCTTCCGATTTTCGGCTTGCTGACTTGCTGGCCAGCCATGGCAGGAGATGGCTGGGGCACCTGGGGGGGCTGACACCTGTCTTTCCTTGTCTTTCCTTGTCATCTGACAGCTTCGCCTGGAGAAGCCCATGCAGACGAGCAGTCGGTGCGTGGTGGGGTGCGCGGTGGACTGCCGCCTCTCAGCGTGGTCGGCGTGGTCACAGTGCTCCCACACGTGTGGTGCTGGCGGTGAGTCCCCACCTGCCCTCCTGCCCCCTCTTCCCCCCCATGCCTCAGCGATGCAGTGCAGACGGGACCCCCAGTCCCAGAAGGGCTTACGCAGCCCCCGAGCAGGGGTACAGAGCACAGGGATGGTCCCCAGCTGCCCCGAAGCCTTTGGAGGTGATTTTTGGACACTCTCAAGGTCCTGAGGTGCTGGGTTTTTTGAACAAAGCACACTATTTTCAAAGTACTCGAAAGTGAAAAACGCAGTTTAGAAAACGAAGTGGACAGATGCTTTGAGGATTATTTTGTTAATTAATTCAAATTCTCGGAATTCAGTCATAGGAAACATTAACCCCAGAGAGAGGAGGAGTACGTAGAGCTAGTGAAGAGCTGGGGAGAGCTACAAGGTTCTTAAGAAATGGGTAAATAACTAAATGCAAATCCTCTAGTGAAGTTACTTTTAGTGACATAATTACATCCCATTGAAGAAAAAACACTAAGACTATTTTTCATGCTTTAGTATATGCCTCTGTCTCCATTGTGTATCCACAGGTCCTGTAATACTTGTGTGACTCCAGTAACTTCAGTGAGGTTTTCTGTAGCCAGTAATGCTCACCAGCCTACAAAAAGTGAAAGGATTAAGACCTTTTTTTAAACTTTATATGATTTAAAAAGCCCTTTGAGTATTGACCTGAGAACATGCGTTGAAGCTTTTATTCAAAATAAGCTGGTGACATTATTTCCCAGGCTTCTGATGTGCATTAGATGTACAGCTAATGGTCTTTAAGATTCGAGAGCCATAATGTATATTTGGATCAAATTCACTTAAGGTCAAAAAGAAAAAAGCTCTTAACTTCCATAAAGTGATTACTTCAGATGAATTTCAGAGATCAAAGCATGTTACAGAAAAAGCTTAATATTTGGATTAGTGATGTTCTTTCTTTGCTGAGCTTTTAGCCCTTTTGTAAAGTAGTGCTTTCTTAACAGAAATGAATAATTCATAGGCAGTGTTTTAACAACAACACACTAAGAATACTATTAATTCCAAATTTTATTTTGTCTTCAAAATCCATTTTGGAGTGTTAATGCTCATGTCGCTGAAAGGACTTAAATTATTTTTTTAAGTCTTCAATCACTTACTAAAATAAACAGAGCTACGTGTGCAAAAACAAGTTGTAACTTCTTTATGGCTTTTAGCATGTAAAGGAGCAGCTCATTGAATATAATCCCTGAAGGTTTTTTTTTGTTCTGAGCTCTTACATTGCAAAGTCTGCAAAGGGACGTACTCCAGTAAAGGTATGTCTTGTTTTCCGCTCCTGGTCCTGAAATGCTAATGTAAATCCTAAAGACTGGCTAAAGAGCTGATGGTTCCCAATGCATGTAAGGAGCAACCACTTACTTCATGTCCCAAATCAGAGCTGGACTTCTGCAGAGGAAAACTGGAAACATCTGTACCCTGCTGAAGCAGACCTCAACTCTTCTTGGGAGTGTCCTGGCTGTAGGTGCCAAGCCTCATTAAGGCTACTTGAAACCACACAGTCAAGCCCAAGCTCAGCTCAGTCTGTGGGTCGTCTTCTGGTCCTGAAAGATCATATCTCCATTATACTGCTAGCTAGATAGCTGACTTGTGCAGTTCAGGACATGGACGTGTATGATTTAAAAACTGCAGGTACTGTTTTGTGAACCTATGGCAGCTAAGCAGCTGGGAAAGCTCTCTTAAAAATTGTGTCATAAGGAAGCCAAGCTTTGCTCAGTCCTTCTCTGTCATTTGAATAGCTTTCCAGGGACCCAAGAGCCTTCTGAATCTCATCCCGAAGCAGGAGCATCAGTGAAACAAACGTACTTTGCATCTGAGTTATTCCAAGCGCATGGTTTATTTTACTGCAGCCCCAGTCCTGATCTGAGTTTTGCTGCAGCAACCACCAAGCGTGGAGCTGCACTGATACCAAACATCCGCGATGGAGGGACCTCGGCACCAGTCCTGCGGCCGTGGCCTTTGTGTGGTTCCAACACTGTCGTTTCAGCTTCTTCACTGACTTCCAGTTGGTTATAAATACTACTTGATGATGGTATTAAGAGAGAAGACATTAATTATGTACTCATCTACAGGTGGTGCTTCACAGCTGAATACAGTGAGGGTTTCCTACCCGAAGGTTCATAGGCTGCAATACCTTTGAAACTGTCACGAATTTCTCAGAGGCATTTGTGAGAATAGGATGAAGCCTCAAATTAGACAGGGAAAACCAAAGGATGACAATAAACAAGCTGTGGGAATTGGCTATAGTAAACACTGATTTGGCTTCGCTTTGCCGAATAAGTAATTGCCCGCTGTTTGGTAAAGTTAAAATGTAGGACTTCGATGCATGAATCTCAAAAATAATTCCCAGCAAATCAGTTGTACGCAGCGTTACTGGCTCTGCTCGCAATAATACTCTGCTTTTCTGGCTTTTCTTGGAGAGCCTGTGAAGGGCCTGCTGAAGTACTATAAACAACTTCAAAGAGAAACGTGATTTAAATATCATTCAGATCAAAATTTAGTGTTGCTGGATTTATGTTTTCATGTTTTTTAACTCAAGCATTGTTGCTAACATTTTTATTCTCTCCGTCTCTTCCAGTAACTTGGTTTGCTATGATACATTTTAATGGATGGTACCTTTCTCTCGCTCCGGTTTTATTTTATGGAACAATGTGTTTAAACATGAAGTGCTGCTGCTGTGTATGTGGCACTGACAGCTAATATGGTTCTGGTACAGAGCAGCCAAAGGCGAATATATTGATTTTTATAAATGATGATGAGTAAAGTAGATCTCTCTTTCCTGCCTGCGCTGAGCCTACGGAGATGTGTAACTGATATTTGCCTGTTGCAGCTGTAGTTCTGGGCAGCATCTGTTCAGGATGCTGGCTGGGGCTTTAGGCTGACATTGGGTTATATATTAGGGTTCCTCAGATCATTTGCTGTACTGCTATGAAAAGATGTATAGTACTGCGTTAATGGATGATGCTCCCACGGCCTGAATCAAAGTTACTGGAAAGACGTTTGGTACGACTTATCTCCAGCAAATTGTATTTCCTTTGTTAAGGCAAATGAATACATGAGGATGCTGAATTTTTCTACGTAAACGTTTTCCAATCCTGTGTGCTTCTCCCAGGTTGTCTAACAGGAGTGCTAAATAGTGTAAAAACACCTAAACCCATGCTTCGCCGCTTATAAAGCTGACTTCATCAGATAAATTATGGGACTTACCTGAGTTACCCAGGCTTGAACATGCTGCCATGCCTTGCTCAGTCCTCAGAGCCCAGGAGAGACCGTAGCGGGTTGCAGAGACGTGCACCCCAATGCCAGACTGACCCGTGGGACAGAAACAAGGGGGACAAGGATGCGCAGGACTGCAAAACTTGGTGGTTGCATTTTTCACTGATTCATCGTCAATTTGTGTTGTGGGTTAGGCTGAACCCCCCACACACAGACGGTCACTCATCCTCCTCCACCCCCAGGAATGAGGGAGAGAATTAAAGGAGAAACGGGAAACCCGTGGGTTGAGATAAGAACAATTTAATACAGATGATTTAATACACAGTGTAGGTGCTCACCACCCCCTCGTATGCGAAGCCCGTCTCGTCCCGAAGCTGCAATCCCGGGCGAACGCGAGGCCCCGAAATAGAGAGGGGCAGAGAGAGAGAGAGAGATAGTGCTCCGAGAGTGGGAGTACTGGGAGAGAGAGAAAAAGAAAAACAATAGAGCAAAAGCGCAGCAAGCGCAAAAGAGCAAAAGCGGCGAAAGAGCCAAAGCGCAAAAGCCCTTCTTCCCGGCTGACCCTCACTTTTATACTGGGCATGACGCTGCATGATATGGAATGCTAATTGGCCAGTTTGGCCCTCAATCTTAAGTTCCACCACAAATCACAAGGGGAATCGTGTCCCCCTTGTCCTGGCTATGCTCCCCCCTTATCCCGCCGTGTTTCTGCACTCCGGCACACTGAAAAGTCCTTGGAGTTTCACGTCCAACCACAAACATCAACTTGCTATCAGCATTCTTCTCAGAGCGAGCCTCTGAGTAAAACCAAAACACGGAGCTCTTCTAGCTGTTAAAAAGAAAAGCTAAAACTGTCCCAGCTAAAACTAGGAAAATTTGGGAAAACACTTTCTGTTTTACCTCCTGAAGAAGAAACTTTCATGACTTTCTCTGTCTTGCTACTCAAACTCATTAAGCTCTGGTTTGATGGTGCTGGGAGATTTTACTGGAAGAGAGGCCACCAGAACCTGTCCCAGAGCTGTGGATGCCCCAGTGCCCACTGGTGGGACGGGCAGTGGGAAGCAGGTGAAAAGTCCCATTTATCACTAGTCCCCTTTGCTTGTGACTCGACCTAACGTGACCTCCAAGGCTGTATTTAAGTAACTTGATCCCTGCTCTGATCTGGCAATTGCTTGATAGGGTTGTATTTTATCTGCTCTGCTCATGCTTATCAAAGAGATAACGATGTGTCAGTAGTTTTGACTGGGATGAACTTGAGCACAAATGTTAATCGTCTTGGTTTCAGCCGTGACGCATCGCTTTGTGGGGATAAAATGCAAGGAATGGCAAGATTTTTGGAGGGTGAAAAATCTTATTCTTCTGATTTGAAAATATGATCCCACGTTTCTGAGGTGAAATTTTAGCCACTGATGCAAAACAGGATTTCAAATGACCAGCATTAACAAGACTAGCCTCTTTTTTCCCTCCTTTCAAAACTGATGAAAAATTTGAGGATATGAAGAAACACTTATTTTCAATTTTCAGCACACTTTCTGTTTCAATTTTCATATCATTTAACACTTCGGAGCAGAGGCAACAGAGATGTGGCCAATTCATGAGGAAAGTAAAGAAGAATTCTTGGGGAAATTAAAGAAACAATTAGGATTGCTTTGACTTTTCCAGAGTTTGTATTGGAAGAAAAATAATTTCAGATGCAGTGAGATTCTGTTCTCCATAGGCAGCAAAAGATAAGGTATTTTAAAAGAAAAGACAGGGAGTTTTTCTGCTACTTGAGCAGTAACCGGGCACCAAGAAAATGTTTATGAAGTGAGGAAAAAAAAAAATCAGAGCTTTAAGAAACTCACTGCAGTGATTGTGCAAAGAAAGATTTCAATCAGATTTCTTTCTTTGCTGATTTATGCACAGTATAAAAAGAAAATGATAGACTAACTGAGTCAAGCACCAGCTGACCTTTGTGAATGTAATGAGTTTAAATGGTTTGGATAACCAACTGTCAGAAAAATAAAATGTAAATAAATACAGAATTGTTGTTAATTCCTCTTTAAAGGAAAAACATGTTTCCTATTCAATGATCTTCCCATTTACATTTTGCTAGAAAGATGTTAAACAGAGTGTACGAAAGGAAATTATTTCTTTAATTAAAATAGCTTGATGAATGCTTCAGGCTTTCAAGTCCCTCCTAATGAAATCAGATCTTTCAAGCTTAGGAGATCTCTTTTTTTCCGTAGCTGCCGTTTCGGGAGCTCGTGCCTGGCAGAGCTCCCTGCTCCGGGGGACCCGCTTGCCCTGGGGCATCCCCAAAATACCCCCCATGGGCTTCCCGCTGTTTCCCAAAGAGCCTTTTCCATTGCTTACCAGTCCTCAGCGTTCAGAATGAAGAAGAATCTGGCAAATTTGGTCCCTTGCTGGAGAGGAAGAAACAGTGAATTTTGGCCGGTCGGGCAGGGAAGGGCTGCTGTGGGGTTTGCCGGCAGCAGGCTGGGGGGTTTCTCTCCCGTCGCTCTGACCCTTGGTAAACCACAGGAGTTTCTTACCTTTCCTTTCCTCTCAGCTGGTAGGATTTTTTTTCCACCTCCTAATGTATCTGATTCTGTGATGGCTGAATGCACAGTCATGTGGATAAGAGCTTTTATCATCACTTCTCTTACAAACTCCCCAGGTCCAAGGCATTAGAATTAGAAAAGGAAGAAGTCTTAAAATTGGTTTAAATGGGTTTAAAAATGGAATTCAATGGGTCAGAACAAGGGAATGGCTTTGTAAAGGTAAGAGAGCTGGCTAAGGTATCTGTCAGTAGCTTTTTCAGGTGTGCCTGCTTTCAATTTTTATTTCCTAAAATGGTTTTGGAAACCCTACTCCATAGACATCACAATGACAGTTGTTAGAGATGTACCTTAAACCCAGCTGCAGTAATTAGAAAAGCACATGCATAAAAATGAATTAAAAAGCACATGCATAAGTAGCTGGGAGGAGGACCCGGCTGAACATCGCAGCTCCCCTCTTCGCATGGGTGTTTTCCCCCCGCCCCTCATCCCAGGCTCCTCTCTGCTCACGATTGCGGCTGAAGGACCGCGGTACAAATGGGAGAGCTCCACCACAACACGTTCTCTCTTTCCTTTTCAGCGAGTTAGCAATTGCAGCTTGCATCTGCCTTGTTGCATGTGTGTGCTCTTATTACCCAGATCTCTTGTTTTTCTAACTGCTTCTCGAATCCATGCCTATTGAAAAGGCAGAAATTTTATCCCCAGCACAATCTTCTGCATCCCATTGCTTTTGTTTTCCACTTTTTTTTTTTTTTAATTGGAGCCGGGATTCTAATTGAAACATTTTGAGTGAAAACATTCCTGGACATAAATGGACAGCAAAGGAGACGGAAATGGAATTGCTGTAACTTTAATGAATATATTCAGTTTTATTCTTTCAAAAGTAATAACATAATTGCTTTTTCCATTCAGTGGCTGAAGAAGTTTTCACTGATAATAAATAGGATTTTAATGGAAATGGCAGAAGTGGTTATGGATGGTAATAGCCACTAGAGTGTTTGCAGTTTTCAAATTAGATGCACATAATTGGTCATAAAAAGAAAGTTTAATTTGTTAAAAAATCTCTGGAAACATATTGAATGTGTAACGTTAGAAATGATGCTGCTACAGGAATTATTTTCTTGTCATATTTAATAATCAGGATTTAGTCAAGTATTTAAATGTGTTGCATAAACAAATAGTGTATTTGGAAAACATACAAAGCTGTGTTTAAAAACTATGTTTGAAAATAACGGCGACTGCGTCACTTAGACTTAGCAATTGCATCCATATTATCCAAATAGTCTTCCCAATTAATTGCTTTTTAAACAAATTTTAGTGATAGAAAATGAACTGGGAATACTGATAAAACGCAGAATCTGCCTGTCTGTCTGTCTGTCTGTCTCTGGGTCTCCTTCACCATCTCCTGTCTTCTCCCCTCGCCTAGGCCAGATGGTGCGTGGGCGCTCGGTGGTCCTGCGGGCAGCGGGCGAGGGCAGACCCTGCCCGGAGCAGCTCACCCAGCACAGGAGCTGCCCGGTGAAGCCCTGCTACAGCTGGCTGCTGGGCCCGTGGTCTCCCTGCCGAGTCCAGGTACGGCTTTCTGCAGCGCTCCCCGAGAGCTCCTTGGAGTCCCCACGGCTGGGGTCAACGACAAAACTCATCGTTATATGGTAGAATTGATTGAGGGCACCGTTGGCAGGTCGGAGGTGTCTCTGTGGATGTTGAAGGTGCTGGTGAGATCCGTAGGAAAGCAGGGGAAGTTCAGGAGCGGTAAACCTCTGCACCTCATCTTCCAGCCATCAGCAGCGATTTATAGCGATACGGGTTCAAGTACCGCAAGCTTATAGAGGTATTAAAGGAGATTTATGGAGTAAATGTGCTTGAGTGGGCATAGTCATGGTGACCTATAATTTAATTATATAAAATAGCTCTAACAAGAAAATAGATAATGCTAGATTTCAAGAGAGCTTAGTGTTTCTTATCTTTTTCGTTCCTTCTTTTTTTCTTTTTTTTTTTTTTTTAAAGTACTGTGTAGCAAGTCTTTCCCCACAAGCTCTCCAGTACAATAGTGTGAGTCATTGTGTGAAGTGCTGGTTTCTACTTTCTTCTTAGCCTGGCTATCTTTTTAATGATCTAAAAATGGCTGGGTTCAGTTGCAATGTACTGTACCTACACTCAGCACCTCTGCTCAGCACCAGAACCATCATTTTTTCACTGCGAGTGACTTGCATCAGGCTTGAGTTGACATTTTTTTCCTCTTTGTGCTTTTTCTTCTCTCCTTATCTGTTGATCACATTTCCAATATTAAAACATATTAGTCAGTAACCCAGTTTAAGCAGAGGTGAATCTTTCACACTGAGGTTTCTTGGACAGAGTGAAGTCCACTTGTGCTGCTTAAAGACAGCTTTATGGAGATGCTGGTGGGAGAAGTGTGGTTGGGGTGGAAAAGTGCCCTGTCTGGTCCCAGAGGACAGGACCTCTGTACAGATCTGTGACTTCTTCTCCACTTTATACGATGTAGGAGACTGAAACCAATAATGCACATAAAGACGCATCCGTTGTGCTTTCTGCTCTGCCCTCTACCCCACTGCAAATGCCTTTAATACCTACGTGGTTTCTAGATGAGGTAGAGGGACATGTAGCAAATACTGCAGGTGGCAGAAGACATACCCAGAATTTTCCCAGGTTTTCATAAATGAAATCTGGACTGTGACAGTCTTTGAACAGACCAAGACCAGAGAAACAGAAATGTATTTTATATAATGAATGACAACTTATCGCAACTAGGGATATGAATATGGTCCTCGTATGTATTGCACTCAGTATTTATTTATGTATAACATAAACGTAACAAAATGATAGCATCAGCTGATATTTCGTCCAGCAAATTCTGTTAAACATTAGGGAAGAGACCTTCAACCGTAGGAGCTAACATAGCCAATAAAAGTATTAATAAGGAAGCTGAATTAACGCCCTGCCATACTCCAAATAAATAACACATCCTGCAGATTAAAAGTGTGGGCATCAGAAGCTGGCAGAACTTCAGCTCAGAGCAAGTAATTGCAGCCTTCCCCGCTCAGATACCGTCCCGTGCTTTCGCTGAGATAGAGCCTGCTTCTCTCCTTAAACTGCCGTGATGCAGTTTCTCTCCCCTTTGCTTTGTTTTGGAGAGGAGCCATTTTCTTCGTGTTCCCTTCTCTTTAATGAGGTGCTTAGGAATTAAATGTGGTTCATAAATACAGGGTGATTTATTCCTGTGCTTTACTGGAAAAGAAGCTTAAGCTTACTTTCTAAAGAAAGCTTTCAGAAGTCCTGTTTTCAAGGATGCTTTGTGAAAGAAGGTGAATGCATCCTATGGTAAGACGAAAACGCGTATTGTGAAAGTGTCTTCCTGTAATAAGATAAACAGGACAATTAATTATAAGGCTAAAATATTTCTTCCTTGTGTTATGAGATAACAGAGACTGCATTTCTTAATTGTAGAAGGACTATTTTATGCTAAATTGACTTCATGTGAATAATTAGAGGTGTCTGCATGTTTAGGAATAGAGCCTGCTCAGTGTTCTGTATTGCTAATTTTCACAGTATGGAAAACAAGGCATTGCTCCCCAGGTAATTACACATGCCACGGGCACACCTCTGGCGGGCACGGGGCATTTCTGCTGCGTTCAGAGGGATGCAGAACAAGGAAAACGATCAATACACCTAATTTTAAGGAGTTATATTACATTAATCATTTTCCTACTGGAGTTGAAGTGTTTTACCCTGTTTAGTGATGAAAAATAAATAATAAGAATTAGCAATGGCCGACACTGTTGATAATTTTTCCATTAAAGGAATATCAAGTGAAGCAGCTACACATTGTCAGGCACTTGCTGCCTGACGTTCGTAAGAAGACTAAGAACCCCTCCTTGCTGATGTGTTTTAAAAGCAGTCCCTTAAATGTGATCCCGCGATGCTTCCTCATTAAAGAGAACTCTTACCTGATTAAAAGCTCATCAACCTGTGAAAGCATTGCCCAATCAACTCTTTACCTAAAAGAATTGTGAGCACACATGAAACCCGGTAAAAGCCGAAAAGGGAACACTTTTCTTAAAAGCACGTCTGGGCAAAGCATCTCATTAGGACTGTTATCTCTTGTCTTATTAGTGTATTATGTGTGGGAAGCATCGGGGGGTGATGTGAGCAGAGGTTTGTGGAGGTGCTGCCTGATGTTGGCGTGTTGGTCAATTCATAAGATGCCTGACTGTCAAAACACAGTCCTGGTGTAAACCTTCTCCTTATTTTACAGACGGTTGGTTGGGATGAGGGAGGTCAGAGATGGAGGCTCCATGCAGGTGCTCCCAGAGGGGCCCATTCCCCCAGGCTGTATTTAGGAGACCCAGGGTGGATTCTGCATCCTCCATAGGTCAGTGTAGAAATTTTTGCGGCCAAACGAGGGAATCCCCTCTGGAAGTCAAATCCCCGCATATTTCCTGCCAGGAGCTTGTGACTGGAGGCAAATCCTGGTTCTAGACAAACCTCAGGTGGTCACATCTTCCAAGGAAAAGCATTTACGATACAGATTCGATCCCCTGAGTTTTGAATATGTGATCATCTCCTTGGCAGTTCTCCTCTGATTAGCAGCTATTCCCTACATCCTCAGTGTGCCATCACTGCCGCAAATTTCCACCAATTCCACACCTATTAATTAGATCTTCAAATGTATAATTTTGGGGGCATGAATAATTTTGAAGACGATAAGGAAGTTAGTGCAGTGCTCCTGCATTGCTTATGACCTTGCCCAATATACAAAAAAAAATCTCCTACTGTAAACAACAGGATGGCATTTTATCTTTTAAGTATATTCAAATGATTGTAAAAACACATTGCTGGTCTTGAAAGAAAGCAATCAAATGGAAGCCACTGTTAGAAAGCAGACCTTTATCTCTGGGATTGTTTGAGAGTTCGTGGTTTCTATTAATTTTTTATTCTAAACGTTGGAAAATATGAGTATATTTCCAATATTGCATGATAGAAGAACAAAGAAAGTTGCATATGGACTTCTATAGTGGAGACTGCTGTACAAAAAAAATGTATTGTTTTCACCTATTTATATTTATATCTTGGTATTTGTATAAGTATTTATATATTGATATGTATATAAATACTTATACATTGTTTATAGAAGAATAAGTATCTTTTTAAAAACTTTTTTGACCTCTCCAGTCATTTAGTCATTCCTTGAACCACTTTGAGCTGGAAATACACTGCAGTTTCATTAGTGACCGTTTCCCCCAAGAATTTTCTCCGCGTTGTCTTCTTTTTCCACCAGCCATTTCTAAGAGCTCTAGCCCAATTGACAGCTGCATGAGTTATTCACACACCATTAATCTCAGACCACAATAGAGGTTTCCGTGGTGAAACGGTAATTTAGAACAGTAAGTTACATACTGACTGAAGTGAAACACTATTAAAAACTTGAAATCTGGCTGCATATAGTAAATCTGCACTAATACTTCTGTAAGATGCTTTTGATTAGCAACTGCTCTAAATCCAGCTAGTTATGCTCATATTTCCATTTCATCGTGGGTCTGCAACAGGAGGGATGGAGAGGATGAAAAAGCTGCCAGGTGTGTGCAGGAGAGCCGCTCTTGAGATTCCTGCTAGCAAACCCGCTGCTGAACGAACGCACGCAGTAGGAGCCATTCTGTTCTGCAGATGAAGTCCATTATTTCAAAAGAATCTGCTGCCAAGTGATCCAAAGGAGCACTTGCCTTGGTTGTATAAAAGCAGTGCTTCATCCTTCTTCTTGAGTTTTTGTTTACTGAATTTTGTAAAGTGCCGTTTCCGCAAGGCTTCAGGCGCACGTTTGTAAAGCATCACGCAGGTTTAAGGTGTGCACCTCAAACATCATCACAGCTCTGTTTTTAGATGAGGATGAAATAATCCCAGCATCTAGAAATAGCCTCGGTGCTTCAGCTCTTACAGCATCTTCAGCATTTGATTGTCACTTTAGCCAAACAATATTGATTTTCTGATAAGGAACGTCTTCTTCAGCAAGTATTTTGGTGTATGGCTAAGTATTTCAGACTGGACTGACGAGCATGGAATGGCCCAGATGGAGCCTTCTACTGCTTGTTCAAATGGGGTTCAGTGCTAACAGGCTGGGCCTGACTTTGGATGGTGTTTGGTGGAGTATGTGACTGAGTTGGTCATTTCTGTCATAGAATCATAGAATCATAGAATGGTTAGGGCTGGAAGGGACCTTCAAAGGTCATCTAGTCCAACCCCCCTGCAAGGAACAGGGATATCTCCAACTAGATCAGGTTGCTCAGGGCCTTGTCCAACCTGGCCTTGAACGTCTCCAGGGATGGAGCATCCACCACCTCTCTGGGCAACCTGTTCCAGTGTTCTACAACTCTCATGGTAAAAATTTGTTTCCTAATATCCAATCTGAATCTACCTCCCTCTATTTTAAAACCATTACCCCTTGTCCTATCACAACAGGCCCTCCTGTCCACTGCAGAACCCATAGTTCACTTGAAGAAATTACCTAAACAGCCTAGTGCACAATAACTCTTGCAGTCTAATTAAGTGCGCTGGAGGATTTTTGCTGTTGCAGGGTTTAACCCATGTTAAGTGCTCCTATTGGGCTCTATTGTCAAAGGAGGTGAGTGGAAATGCCCGTTTCTTACAGGTAGGCTCTGCTCTTGGCCTCTTTAGAGAAGCCAAAAATTTCTGTGTTCATGTAACTGGGCACTAATTAAGAACCAATAAATTCACCAGCTCTAGTAAAAGACATGGAGGACCAACCCCAAAGACAGTTTTCGTCTTTTATAGAACCAACCTCTTCTCCTGCTTTGGTTACAACACACTTTTCTGTGCGGCTCTGCCCCTGCTGCTGAGCTCCAGTAGAGATGTGTACAGAGAAGATCCCCGTCTGTCTGCCCATAACTGGGGATACTGTTGCAGTCCAAAGTCCAAATGTGTATCTTTGAAGTCTTTTTAGATGGAATCAGCTGTGTTTCTTCTGTCATCTACTAACATCAGCAATGTGTGTCTCTGTTCCCTTCTACCATTTTGTAGGGTGGACAGTGTGGAGATGGATTGCAAGTCCGCAACCTCACGTGTGTAGTGCATGATGCATCTGTTTCTGCTACATCCAAACCAGTAGAAAATGCATTATGTGGTGAGCTGCCATCGAAAGAGAGTGTGCTGCAGTTACCGTGCTCTGTGCCTTGCCCAGGTAAAGTCTTTTCTGGAAAGTCACAGTGCGTTTCTGCCTGTGATAGCTGTCTGAGATGGAGATGCTTCCGTAGCTCCGAGTACTGTCAGCTGTCGTAGTAAGAGTCTGTACTTCAGCAGATCAAGTAGATGCTCAGTCTGCTGTTTCTAGATCACCTGAAAAAGACTTCTTTTGGCTTTTTGAGAAAATGAGATTCCCCATGAAGCAGAAAGTCTCAATGATGCATACCACTAGGCCACAAACTGGGGATATTTCACTGTTAGAGCTGTTATATGCTTAGGTTGTCCATATCCTTTAAGGCTGATTCTTTTTGAAAACCTGTGATTTATTCTTTCAACATGCAGGTGACTGCCACCTGACGGAGTGGTCAGAGTGGAGCTCCTGCGAACTCACTTGCATCAATGGCAGGAGCTTTGAGACAACGGGGCGCCAGTCTCGATCCAGGGCGTTTATCATTCAATCTCCTAAGAACCAGGAGAGCTGCTCCGGACAAGCAATGGAAACACGGCCTTGCTCAGGTAGCCTGGCCACAGCACTGCTTCCTCACGTTCAAGAGTTTATTCTGGGGTTTTTTTTTTCAAGGTGAAGAATAACTGGTATTGATATTGCAGGAGGGAAGTGTTATGACTACCTGTGGAAAACCAGCCTTTGGCAAGACAACGTACGCACAGTGTGGTGTCAGCGCTCAGATGGAATAAATGTCACAGGTAAATCCACAAATTACCATGCACAAATATGAATGAAAATTCTCCATCCAGGTTTTTCTTCTTCTGCATCAGTTGTTCAGAGGGCAGTCGGACAGCCTTCCTAATTCCTCCAGAATTTCGGTTCAGATTTGTGTTTAGGAAAGGCAGATGGGAGCTCACCAGCCTTGCCGTCAGGTCAACTTCATATGTGTCATTACAGGAGAGTATTTGGGTGAGTTACCCCTATTGTTGTGTTGGTCATGGGAAGAAATGAGTGTACATGTACTAAAAGGGCTTCCTGGGCTGGCTTGTGCAGCCGTCAGTGCAACCTTCCTGCAACTGTGGAGAACAGAAGAGAACATCACACACATGGTAGAGAGCCCAGCTTCTGTACCTCTTCTTCTATTCAACACGCAGGAATCTCAAATTGCTCAAACTGTGAGATT